TTAATACAGTTCCTCCTGTTGGGACCCCCAACCATAAAATTATTTTCGTGGCTACTTCATCACTGTAATGTAGCTACTGTGATGAATCGTCATGTAAATATCTGATATGCAGGATGGTCTTAGGCGACCCCTGTGAAAGGGTCGTTCGACCGCCAAAGGGGTCGAGACCCACAGGTTGAGAACCGCTGGTTTAGAGAGAGTGGAAGGGAAGGAGGGAGGGGGAGAGAGAGAAATCGATGTGAGAGAGACACATCAATTGGTTGCCTCCTACACTTGCCCCCACTGGGGCTGGGGATCGAACCTGCAACCCAGATATGTGCTCTTGACTAGGAATCGAACCAGTGACCTTTCCGTGCATGGGCCGATGCTCTGACCACGGAGCCACGCTGGTCAGAGCTCAAGATCTTTAAAAAAAATTATGATCAAATACACACAGCATAAAATGTGCCATCTTAGCCCTGGCCGGTGTGACTGAGTTGGTTGGAGCATCAGCCGGTACACTGAAAGGTCACGGGTTCGATTCCCAGTCAGGGCACATACTCAGGTTTCGGGTTTGTACCCCTGTGGGGGGCGCGTACAGGAGGCTGCTCAATGTTTCTCTCTCACATCGATGTCTCTCTCTCTCTTCCTAAAATCAATAAAAGCATATCCTCTTGTGAGGATTAAAAATAATATGATCAGCCCAGCTGGTGTGGCTCAGAGATTGAGAGTCGACCTATGAACCAGGAGGTCACGGATGGTTCAATTCCCAGTCAGGGCACATGCCCAGGTTGTGGGCTCCATACCCAGTTAGGGGGCATGCAGGAGGCAGCCGATCGATGATTCTCTCTCATCATTGATGTTTCTATCTCTCCCTCTCCCTTCCTCTCTGAATCGATAAAAATATGTATTTTCTTTAAAGCAGACTTGAAAACACTGCCTAGGTAGCGAGTCATTCATCCTCACCCGAGGATATTCTTAAATTGATCTTTTTAAAAATATATTTTATTGATTTTTTACAGGGAGGAAGGGAGAGGGATAGAGAGTTAGAAACATCGATGAGAGAGAAAC